AGAAGCCCCCCCCCCCACGATATTATCGATGTAAGTACTTTGTTATTTTCTTTGTACTTGAGCTGAGATATGGATATTAGTTAGAAAAATAAAGGGGCAAAACAAATAAATAAATAGGTTTATTATTTCACCGAGTATCAGTTATACCTTTCATCAATATAAATTGTTATTATTATAGGCGACAAATTTAATCCTAGATGATAGTGAGAACTGATTAATTAAATTTAGAATTATTTCAGTTTGCAGGCATTAGCATAAAAGCGTCCCCAGCAATAAATAGATTTACAGGTGCCTCAACCATCGTTACTTTGTATAATCCACAAGTAAATGGACCTGGCCAATACACTTCTGCAACAATATTTCTTGAAAGTGGAGATGCGACAAATTTAGAGCAGATACAAACTGGATGGATTGTAAGTTTTTTTTTTTTTTTTTTTTTTTTTTTTTTTGCTGAATAGATTGTAATTTTTAATAAGCTTTCATTCATGTTTCATAGAAATTACTTAACATATTTCAACTTTCTGTTATATGAAATGAATGAAATGAAACCAAAAGAATAGAAGTAATTTCAAATTACGACACCTAAGGTCTATAACAATTACAGGTCAAATTTATTGAGCTCCCCTCACATTCACATCTCCTCTTATTTTAACCGTTAAGATTAAGATGTTTAAATCCGAGAATATTAAGATGTTGTCTTTGGATATGAACACTGAATGAATAAGATCGTTTATTTTTGAACGGCATACTTTTTTTATATTTAAATATAATAAATCTATAATCAAATAAAAATTATTTAAATATGATTAATAAAATATTAGAGAAAATTGCAATTTAAATAAAATGTGTCATTATTTGATAAAAATTGAAATAGTAAATGATAATAAATGAATATTTTATGTCTGATAAAAACTTTGAAGTATTTAAATTTTAAATAAAAAAAATATCTATCCATTAATCTATCTATGACAAGCTAGGGAAAAATGCAATCTTACGTTGATCATAAAAATTATTAGCACATGCAAAATATATCAACGTCTATATGAGATAATTCTTTTCTTTGTCTAGCTATTACTCATTCATAATTTGTTTCCCTAAAATTCTGGAAGAAATATTTTCATTTCCAAAAGTGATGTTTGTTTTAGGTACATCCACAACTAAATGGGGACGGACGGACACGGTTGTACACCTACTGGACAGTAAGTATTTTAGGAATTCATATTTCTTTAAATCAAATAAATGTAAATTAAATATATATATATATATATATATATATTC